TATGTTTCCTTTTGCTTTTCTCAAGCGGGAGTCTCTCATCATAGCCACCACAGTGAGCCAGGAATTTGCTGGGTTTCACCTGAAATCAGTATGTCTGAGTCTCAACCAAGGCCTACAGCGTACTACCTGGGTATCCCTGTTGGTTATTCAGGGCCCGAGTGCTCTTTAGTCAGCAGACAATGAATCCTGCCTGGATTGGATCCTTCCCTTCAGGGCAGTGGGCTCCCTTTTGGCCCTGGGTGTGTCTAGAAATGTCGTCCAGGAGGTAGGGCCTGGAATGAGGTCTCAGGACTCTGCCTGTTGCCTTATCCTATTGTGACTGAGCTCGTATACAAGATAAAAGACACGCTCCTGTTGCCTTTACTTGTTGCCTTCCTATCCTGAAGCAGAAGGAAGGAGTCGCTTACTGGTATGAGCTCTACTGCCTGGGACTGGGGGAGGAGTGACACATTGGCTCCCTTGGTCGCCCTATCTGGTGGGTCACTTGGTTGTGTGCTGCCCTAGTCCACTGGCTCTAAGCACAACACTAAGATGTGCCCAGGAATTGTAGTCCTTGTGTCCTAGACTGCCTTTTCAAGTTTACCTGAGACTCTAGAGCACTTTAACCCTTGGTGGCAGGGCTTACTCAATTTCCAACCTCTTGGATGGGCGATTCTCCTCTGACCATTCTGACCATGTCACATCCAAATGCTCCCTTTTGTGGGTGGCTGCTAGCTGAACCCAGCACACTTTTGCTCTCCACCGTGACTGGTCAGCACTGAGTTTAATGCAAAGTCTCCCATTTGCTGTGCTCTCTCCACCCAAGTGCACATATTCTTTGTCTATGCCGCACAGCTGCTATTGTGGGATGGGAGAGGGGTGGCATCAGCGATTCAAGATAGTCTTTCCCACCCTCTTTATTGCCTCTGTCAGCAATATGAAATTAAAACCAGGTGCTATGATTGTTCACTATGATTTTTGGTTCTTTGGCAGTGCTTTTTTGTGTGTAGTTGGTAAAATTGGTATTCCTGCAGAGTGGACCATCAGTGGAGGCTTTGATTCGGCCATCTTGCTTTGCCTCCCCTCTTTTTTTTTTTTTTCTGTTAAGATAAAATAAACCAGACCTCAAACTTTGAGCATTGTAAACATTCTTCACAATGCAGGTAGGGATTTTATCTACAATCCTACTGTCTGGAAGTGATCATAATTAGCATTTTGGGTTTGAATTACTGCTCTTTTTCTTAGTATTTAATCTTATCTGTTTCCTTATTTGTAAAATGGGGATAAGCAGTGGTGTACTTCATCATCTCAACAACTCTGTGAAATAAATAAGTTGACTTAGTGTTTACAATAGTACTAGTTATATAGTGTTAGTTATTGTTGTTAAGGAATCTTTCACATATATTTCACAGTTGTGTATATTTGTAGGCAGTGTTTTAATGGAATATTTTTACAATAGTTGGTTCTGCTTACCTTTTTTGCCAGACAGCTTGGCAGCCCACTGATTCTTTTAGAAGCATGTGTTGAACTTCACATGTACAAAATACAGCTGATTACATTTTCTTTCTCTATGATAGTTCAAAAACTAATAAGTGACCTCTTGATTCCATTACTTCTTTCTAGCATGCTTATTTACTTTTACCTGACTCACCTCATTTTTATCTGAATCACAGGAGATGTATTTGAAGTTTTTATTCTTGTAAGTTGGCCCAGTTTAGTTCTTTTTAAGAAATAAGATCAACAATCTTTGTTCACTGTGGGTAGGGAGAGGGGCGTGAACATGGAAAAATCAAATCTTGCCTGATTTTGAGGAAGCAAGTAGATTTGTACACAATTCAGAACCAGTTAACCTAATTATTTTGACCTTTAAAACAAACGACAGCAACAAAACACACAGCTTTCACAAAAGTGTGAAAGAAAGTATTTTAAGACTTGAGTAACTGAAGGGCTAAAATTCTCTTTTTTTTTTTTTTTTTTTTTAAATTATGGTTTTAGGAAACTTGGTGCTAGAAAAGTGTGGAAAAAACTGATACTTTTGGAGAGAGCAAAACAACAAATGTCCTCTGCATGGAATCAGAATTCTGTGGAAGCTTTTAAAGTATTTTTATAAGTGGACCAGAGTAAATTTGCCGGGTTTGTGGTTGATAGTAAGTGTAAGTGTTCTTAAAGGCTATCAACAATAAGTTACAGAAGGATCTCACAAAACAGAGTAGACAGAATGGGGGTTGAGGTAAGACCTCCTGTTAGGCTCACCCAGCCTATACATTGTTTCCAAATGTGCTTCAGGAGGCACTTTTCCTTCTCTTTTAGGAGAGGTGAAGTGTGTTACATACCTTTTCTCTCACTCTGATTCTCTTATTTTCTCTCTCTCATTTACTGGTTACATGGACATACTGTGTAACTGAGGGCCAAGTGGTGCCTCTCTCTGTCCCAGTATCCATTAATGCAAGGTGCAGTCGTATATTCCTCCTTCAGTGGACCCAAAATACAGTGTATGAACTATCAGTTACTGAGAAGGTTATTGTGTTTATTCTTTAAAGGTATCCTAGTCAAAGACATTATCCCTAAAGCTCAGAAAGTGCTGGACTCTGAAGTGACTGAACAAAATGGAAATTCTTTTCTTTTCTAAATTTACATGAAGTCATTACATTCCACGTGTTAACCAACCCTGAAGAAACTTCTAAGTGGGAGAACTCACCAGGAGGATGATTTTAAGAGGCCAAGAACACACTTTTTAAAGATCAGTTCAAATCCCATATTCATAAAGACTTCTTTCTGCTTCAACTGATAGCAGTTACTCCAGTTTTCATATAGCTGCTTCATGTTGTTCATGTAGGAACTCAAGTACATGGTAGGAATTCAAGAATGTGTTGGTCCTTAAAGAAACGGTTGAAGAGATTCAATGACAGGGTGGACTCCAGTCTGGAAGAGTGAGTACAGGGGGAGTCAGGGTAGCGTTAGTGGCTTGTATACAGGATTCAGAGTCAAACTGAGTTTCTTCCTTTGTAAAATGGAGAAGAAGATAACATATCTTTCTACCTAACTAGTACAGGCTGAAATTATAAATAAATTTAAGAACAGTTAGATAAATTTATGGATGAGAGATTAAATTCAGTTCAAACAATAGATATGCCTGGTACTGTCCTGGACACCATGGATATATCAATACCATATGAGTAAGAAAGCCTTTTGACTTTATTGTAAGGCCTATGGGTATATGCAGTCACGTGGCACATAACATTTCAGTCAGTGGTAGATGGATGGCATATATGGTGGTTGTCCCATAAGATTATAATTGAGCAGAAAAATTATTCTCACCAAGTGATGTTAAAGCCATTGTTCATTGTAGCGCAACACATTACCTCTTTCATTTTTACGTACACAAATACATTGTATTACAGTTGCCTATAGTAGTCAGTTCAGTAAATATCAGGTTTGTAGCCTAGACACAGTAGGCTACATCATATAGCCTAGGTGTGTGGTAGGCTATCCCTATAGGTTTATGTCAGTACAATCTGTGATGTCCACATAATGATGAAATCACCTAATGACATGTTTCTCAAAACCTATCCATCCCCATCATTAAGTGATGCATGACTGCAGTGTATCTCCAAGTGACTCCAGCAGAATTTTGTTGAAGTGCTTCTCAGCTCACACATTTTTGATTTAGTGTATGTCTGGCCTTCCTGTGACTTACTTTTTTGTAAGGTTCACATAAGTAAAATGAGTCTAGAAATCTAGAGATGCTGATATCTATCTCAGGTAATCCTGTTAGCTCTTGATGAACTTTTCTGGGCACTTTTACTTCTCTGGATCCTTTCACATACCATTCAGCGCTATGCAGAATGAACTAATAACACTGATACTTGAAGGCACACCGCTGACTCAGACCTTTTTAAAAGAGGTCAGAGTGTGGTGTAAACCTAACAAAGGAAATGGGTTCCTATCAAAACGGAAACATTCATTTCTTTATGTCTGTCCCTGCCTCTCTTGCATAACAAGAACTTGAGATCTAATGAGCTATATTGTTATTTTAATCTTAGTAATAGTCACTATATAATTATATTAATTACTTGGAAGTAGGAAACTTTTTTCATTTTTTGGAAACATGTCTTTGTTAATTATAAACTACTTACATAGTTATTTCTTTCTACATTTGTTTACTGGGCTCTTTATGCCTTCTTTTTTATCCACTGAGGCAATATTAGATTTTACAAGATTTGTTAGTAGTCATGTTAAATGTTAAGCTAAATGATTCATTGTTTTTTGGCGGATAAATTACCTTGTCAGATTCTGTTGCTTTTGCTTTGTGCTTAAGGTGAATAATTTGTAGGGAGATAAGGTTCTTGGCATTTGTAACTGTCTTGTTTAGAAAATAAATTGACTTACCATGTTAGAGATCCCATACAGGAGATTTCTGAAGCAAAACTTACACTTTTGTTGCCTCAAGGGAAGACTTTATTGCATAATATGATACATGTTTATAAGGTTTGTGTAGAAATACTCTACTTTGTAAAAATCTATATAGGTTAGTTTCCAATTTAATATTGTCCCAAGTAAAAAATATATACAATTGAGTTTTATTGAGTTAACTAACTCAATCCTTAAGGATTGAAAAAATCAGAATTTAACAGAAGCTAGGTTTTTTGAGCCTGGCAGTTAACTGTTTACAAATGGAATTATTTTTATGAAATTATGAAATTCAGCCTGTGGTTTGCTGAAAATTGAATTAATATGTTTAGTAAGGATGTTAATCTTTTGAAATTATAAACCTCACATATTTGATATAAAAATTAAAAGCATATGGGTTGCTTTTAGTTTTTTATAAAAACTTAAGGACATGTATTTTTTCATTAAAAATTTTGATAGCGTAATTGAAGAATTATGGTGATGTGCAATTATTAACAAGAATGTTGATTAAATGTTTAATGTGTTCATGTGATTGCTACAGAATGGAATCTCAGAAATGTGCTTTTTCCAAGACAGTTGATACTCTTAATAATTTTAAATTTTTATTGCAGCTAGAACGAGTAAATCTGTCTGCAGCCCAGACACTGAGAGCCGCTTTCATTAAGGTGAAGTGCAAATAATTTATTATGATTATTAAAGTGTATGTTCTTTGTAAATATAAGTACATGTGATGGTTGCCAGTTTATTTTCTTTTAGTGAAAGCCTTTTTAGCCATCTTATGCCTGTTTTACTATATTCCATAAAGCTTAAAACACTTCCAAAAGGTAAACTAGAACAAATGTTATTTCATTAACATGCATCTTTTCATCACTTTGTGCTTTTGAAACTGACTTTTTCAGAGCATTTTCTTCTTAGCTGTAGATTATATTTTTGAGGGTTTTTTTTTTTCTATTATTTGACCTTTTGAAAACTTACATGGCTGGGCGTGGTGACTCATGCTTGTCATCCCAACACTTTGAGAGGTCGAGGTGGGAGGATCACTTGAGACCTGGAGCAAGACCAGCCTGGGCAGTATAGCGAGACCCTGTATCTATCTACAGAAAATAAAAATATTAGCCAGGCATGGTGGCGCATGCCTGTTGTTCTTGCTACTCAGGAGGCTGAGGCCGGAGGATTGCTAGAACCCAGGAGTTTGAGGTTACAGTGAGCCATGATCGTGCCACTGTGATCCAGCCTGGGTAACACAGCAAGACCCTGTCTCAAAATAAAATAAAAATTTAAAAGTATTTGTAAAAGTGTAACTTGAAAAGGTATTCTTTCTATTGTTTAATTATAGAACATGAGTCTAAAAAATGTGTACCTTCAAATATGGTGAATTAAATATACTTTGAGGATATACAGTTAAGTCACTCAAAATAAATTATTTCCTTGTCTTTGGACCTGAGCTGTTCAGTGGGTTATCACTAGCCACATGTTGCTTTTGACCATTTAAAATAAGACTAGGTCAGATCAAGATATGTTCCAAGTTAAAATACACACAGATTTTGAAGACTTCATGTAAGAAAAAGAAAGTAAACTAGCTTAGTAATAAGTATTTTATAATACTTGTTGAAATGATAATATTTTGGATGTACTATTAAAATAATTTTACTTGTGTCTTTTTACTTTTTTTTAAATGTGGCTGCTTAATATTACATAGGTAGCTCATCGTTGTTGCTGATAATTACATTTCTGTTGTAAAGCCCTACTCTAGAGACTTACTATACATGTTGAATGCATTCTTTAATATAAAACTTTTATCTGGTCCTCCATCCCAAATATATATCATGGTGCCCAAAACTTTAATTTTTATTTTCGTATTTCTTCCCATCAGTAGCTTAAGTAACCTGTGTTTTAGGTATTTTAATGTTTAAATGTGGAATACGTTTATATTTTAATTGGAATTGAAACTATAAGTCCATTCAGCTTGATTTATTTTATGTCACACAAGTTATTGATAACATTCTTTTCTGATAGCACAGCTCATGTCACTAGGAATCTCATATTACCACAATAATCTATATTACTTATGTTGCAATAGAGCTTTTTTGATTCTATACCCTGTGATTCAAGGTGAGTACATATATATTTAGTAGCTTCATTAAATTGCATCCTGCCAAATCATTGGGTAAATGAAGCAACGCCATAATCATTTTCTTTTTTTTTAATTGTTGTTGTTTTCTTCTTTGAGTTTCAGTTTGACTTTGGAATGGCATATTTGATCATTAGGGGGGCATGATGCTATCTTAAGCATCTTTGTGGCCAAAAGAAGAAGGAAAAGTAATCTGTACAGTAGTGTTGCTAAGACAAAAGTCAGTATTTCAGCTTTTCTAATACCAAGAATAGAGAGAAGAAGACCCTGTTCGAAGGAGTAGATAGTATCTTCAGTGACATTCATAAAATAATAAATTTCATGAGGGTTTTTCTTGTAACATCCTAACATATAAGCTAATGATTTAACACTTAAGTACAATTATGTGACCGTGATAGATGTGGTTTGATCCATGGATAAAGTTTATTGTCCGTGGCATAGATTATTTATTTTGGAAGAAAACAAATTAACTAATTTTGCACTGATGTGTTTTTAATTATCACATTTAGTTTATTACAGTTCAAGTGAAATTGAAGGAGGACATGTGTTAAAAATGTAAAGATGTTTGTATTTTTTAAATTACAACTTTTGAAAAAGATGAAAGAAACTTCACCAGTCATGAAATCTATTATATTCATACTTCCAATTTTTGGTCCACAACAACAATAATTTTCATCATACTTTTTGTTATTTGGTGGAAAAAGAGGATTAAAATAGTTTTTTTCCCCAAGATAATACTGTTGAATATTTTAATATATATACAGTTAACCTTTGAACAACGTGGAGGTTAGAGGTGCCCACCCTCTGCAGAGTTGAAGATTTGAGTATAAGTTTTGACTTCCAAAAACCTTAACTACTAAAAGCCTACTGTTGACCAGAACATCTTACTGGTAGCAAAAACAGTTAACATGTATTTTGTGTATCCTATATATTACATACTGTATTCTTAAGCTACAGAAAAGAAAATGTTATTAAGAAAATCGTAAGGAAGAGAAAATATGTTTATTATTATTTATAAGCGAAGTGGATCATCGTAAAGTCTGCATCCTTGTCATTTTCGCATTGAATAGGCTGAGGAGGAGGAAGAAGAGAAGGGGTTGGTCTTGCTAGTTCAGGAATGGCAGAAGTAGAGAAGGTGGATGGGGAGGCAAGAGAGGCAGGCACGCTTAGTGTAACTTTACAGAAATATGTTTAATTTCTGACTTACATGCTATGTCATTTCTCTAAAAATGTTTCTGTACAGTACCAATCTTCAACATTTGCTTTGGTTTCAGTGCTCATATCATAGAATGGTCCATGTCATAAAGCAGCCTTGAATAAATAGAACTTTTCTGCTGGATTGTCTAATGTCCATTCGTTTTCTGGCACTCCTTCTTTGTCTTCTTCCTCATCGTCTGTTAGTTCTTAAATTTCTCTGATATCCGTATCTTGAAACCCTTCATCCTCTACCATTTTTACCGTATCTACAATCTCTTTATGATTTCCATGTCCCTGTTGTAAGCCCTATGGAGTCGTGCAGAACGTGTGGACACAGTTTTCTCCAGCAGAAATTTATTGTTTTAGGCTCGATGGGTTTTTCTATAACAGCGATAGCATCAATGGTGTAATTCTTCCAGACTTACATGATGTTCTTTCTACCAAGGATTGTTGACAGCCCTTTCCATAGAGGCCTTATGGTTCCATGTATAATGAGCCTTAAAGGTTCTTGATCCCCTGATGTAGAGGCTGATTTAGAGGTGTGGTGTTTTGGGACAAGTAGGCCACTTTGACACCTTTCAGTGTTGAACCCGTGGGGTTCCGCGAGGCAAGGGACATTATCCAGTATCAGAAGAAATTTTTTAAACAACAATAATAGTAAAAGAAAGGTTAGGCGCTGAGGCCCGTGCATTGTAATCCTAGCACTTTGGTGGGCCAAAGTGTGAGGTTAGAGGCCAGAAGTTCAAGACCAGCCTAGGCAACATAGAAAGACCTTGTCTCTAATTAAATATACATATTCATATACATATGCATATACATATATATGTGTATGTATATGTAGATATCTCTGATAGCTATATGATAGCTCTAATATATATCTGATATAAATCTATCTAGAGACATATAGGTATCCCTATAGATATATATACACAATCAGAAGAACTTTAAAAGACCATCCCTTACTGCCAAAATGCTTTCTAACTTCAGGAACAAAGCATTGATGGCACCAGCCCAGAACAAGAGTTCTCTTTGTCTAGGTCTTCTTGTACGAACACAAGACTGCAAACTGGTGTTTTTCTTTTCTCTTCAAGGCTCGAGGGTCTAGCAGCATTATAAATAAGGGCAGTCCTGATCATAAACTGAACTTCATTTGCACAGAACAGTAGCGTTGTCCTGTCCCTTCCTGCCTTAAATTCTGGTGCTCACTTCTCTGCTTTATTAGTAAATATTCTTTGTGGCTGTCTTTTCCTTCAGAATGGGGCGCTTTGATCTGTATTAAAAACCTTTTCAGGCAGGTATTTTTTTTCCTCAAAGATATTCTTACTGGTGTGTGGCCACTTACTTTCTGCCTCTTGGTCAGCAGAATCTGTGTGTCCTGTTATCTTGACATTTTTTAAGCAAAACCTCTTTCTAAAATTATCAAACTATCCTTGGCTGGCATTAAATTTTTCAGCTTTAGACTTTACTTTTGCTTTAAGTTGTCATAGAATGAGTTTGCTTTTTCTTGAGTCATATTAAGGTCTATAGGTATGCCTTTCTTATAGATATCCTGCACCCACATAAAAGCTGCATTTTCAACAGGAGACAAAAAGGTATTTCACAAAACATGCAAGGTTTTTGAACCTGCTGATGAAGCTGCAGCAATGACTTTGTTTCATGAATTTCCTTTTTTTTTTTTTTTTTCTCACAGTGAGTCTTAGGCTGGATTCAAGCAATTCAGTATTATGCATTTCACCTTCTTGTAATGTCGTGACTTTGTTTCTTGAGCACACTTCCAGCATCACTACTGGCACTTTGTTGGGTCCCATGGTATTATTCCATGTTTAGAGTATTGCAGCAAACACGATGAAAAAAATTTGTGAGGCCTGGGAGGTATTACTTTGTACTGGGATGTGCAGTTTGCTGAAGAGATCAACTGTTCACATGGAGATGATTAGAGTCACACAGCGTTTTAATCATATACTTACTAATACTTGAACTCACTGCAATAACAACAGGAGGTAGCTTCTAAATTACTACATATACATATGTACTACAGTTAATTTTGTGCAGTTATGATTTAATATTTTGTCTGTATATTTATATTTTAACTGCAAATAACACCATATAGTCTGGGTTTGCATATGAGTTTTGATAAGTTTTAACTTTTTAATAATTTGTATCTATTTTATGATAGTAAACACTCAAATAGACTAGTACATACCTATATTTTATACATTCATAACATGTTTTTATTATTTTTTTCACTATAGGCTACTCAGTTTGTAAGTTTTTTCAAATTGTTGCTGATCTCCAAAAATTTTTCCTGTATATTTATTGAAAAATATCTGCATGTGAGTGGACCTGGGCAGTTAAAACCAGTTCTTCAAGGGTCAGCTATATTCTACTTGATTCTCTCTCCCCCTTATCCTCTCTGAGAGGTTCCGATAGGTTGTCCATCTTCCAGGTTGAGAATCACTGATCCAAAAGAGTGTATGTTACTGCCCTACGGTTTATTTTTTTCTTACAGCTGGATTCTTTACAAAGGTTAGACACCCTACAGGGTTCATATTGTATTCTGAGGGAAAACCTAGAGGCATAGATTGTCTCTCTGATATGAGAGCATATTTACTCATTTTGTCAATCAGAGGCATTTGGTAAATTCAAGCTTTTAAAATAAGAATTAGCTTAACCAGGTTTTTAGCCAGGAGGTACTGAGACTACTCCTTCCAAACTATGTACTGAGGTACCTGGTGGCCCATAGCAAATTCAGAGGGGTGCCACGAAGTATTTTAAAATTTTGAAGGTGTGCGGTGGTATTCAACATCTGTTTGACATTGTATGGACTCCTAGCTTGAGATAGTTTGCAGTTCAGCATATTGGATTGTCCTACCCTGCTTTCGTTGGTGTTAGATCGTTGAGAAGCTGGAGTTTTTTTGGCCTGTGCTGTGATCTAACAGAAGTACCAGAAAAAAAATACATCTGCAAGAGGAAATGAGAGTGGCAAGGTCCGATCTAAGACCAGTGTTTGAGAAATTGTGAAGTGCCCAGTAGGCACACACATCCCAGTAATAAGTGATGGTAGTTATTTAAGAACGAAGTAAAAAGGTTTTTTTCAATTCATGTGTATTATTTTTTTAAAGGCCAAGTAGTTAGGACATTATACTTATTAAATTGTTTGGAGCTACGTATTTAATAAACAGCACTGTGAGGTATATTTTTTGGCGCTAAGGCTGCTGAAAACTGAGAAAGTTAGGGACCTCTGCGAGACTTTGGTAATGATCTAGCTTTAGCATTTTGGGGTTCCAGAGCAACTTGGTATTGAAAACTTTATTCTCAGACTTTCAGCATTTAAACCTTTCAGTACTTCATTATAACTTAATCAGAAATAATGCTTTTCTTTTTTCGTTCTACAAGCACATAGAGAATGGTCCTCCTCTCCCCAAGGTAATTCATTATGTAGGTAGATTTATTGCTAGATAAGATAAAGTATTGTTACCAAATGCTACATTAGATGTAATTTTGTGACAGTTCACCACATTAATGCTATAACAACACATCTTAAGCCATATTTAGACATCTTGTAAAGGAAACTCCTTTTTTAAAAAAAAAACATAGTTTTTGTTTGTTTGTTTGTTTTTTGTTTGTTTTTTTTTTTTTAAGACCAGGTCTTTCTTTGTATCACAGGCTGGAGTGCAGTGGCATGATCATAGCTCGCTGGAGCCACGAACTCGTGGGCTCAACCTCCCAAGTAGCTGGGACCACAGCCACACCCCACCATGCCTGGCTAAAAAATAGATTATTTTTGAAATATACGTGGAAGGAAAAGTCATCATAGGCTATAAAAGAAACAGGGTTCAGTCAGACACAGTTTATTGTTATTAATCATTTATCAAAATCAAAATGATTTTCCGGAATAGTATTTGACAGCATTTAAAATGATCCCAGGATTGAGATTGAGATGAATGCTTGTATTGTCTTTTCTTATTTCATCCCACGACCCTTCAGTTTTTGATACTTGAGATCTAATGAGAAGCAAGATGTTATAATGGAAAGAGCAGTAGGAAGAGAAGAAAACTGTATCTGCAGTGATAATCAGTGGAACTGAAGAGGCAGAGGTTAAGTGTGCTTGACACATAAGGAAACAAAAAGATTGTCATCTGATTAAGATCGTAAATTGTGTTTCTATTTTGTTGTTTAATATTAGGGCAAAAAGGAAATTCATCAGCATAATGATTAAAATTGGCAGGCTTCCTAAAGGAAACAAACATCAAATGTGATTACAGAATTTACTGGGAAAAACTGAAATCTGAAAATTAACTCTGGCTTTGGTAAACTGAGAACTCTATGCAGAGTCTTGAAATGGCTACAAAATTTTAGTGTCCTGGGGAGTTTCAGTCTAAGTAACATAGAACCAATGCAAACTCAATGAAACAAGCTCAAAAGGTAGTAAAAGTTTAATGATGTTCTAGAAACCAGTGAAGGAAATATTCTTGCTACAAAAATGAACTAGGAAATGAAAATCATTGTGTGGGAAAATAGTTAAGATATTATTATATAGGTTCAGTAAAACCTTTGAAGTAAATCCTTTTTTGTTTTACCTGGCATTCTCTTAATATAAATGAAAAGAATATGCAAAATGCTAGTCAGATGGGTTATTGCTTGATCCTTGAATTGCAATATTAGTGCATTAGGCCAAGACGGGCGGACCATGAGGTCAGGAGATCGAGACCATCCTGGCTAACACGGTGAAACCCCATCTCTACTAAAAAATACAAAAAACTAGCCGGGCGAGGTGGCGGGCGCCTGTAGTCCCAGCTACTCGGGTGGCTGAGGCAGGAGAATGGTGTAAACCCGGGAGGCGGATGGTGTAAACCCGGGAGGCGGAGCTTGCAGTGAGCTGAGATCTGGCCACTGCACTGCAGCCTGGGCGACAGAGCGAGACTCCGTCTCAAAAAAAAAAAAGCTTAAAAAATTCTCAAGATATTTAAAGTAATGAGAATAGTAATTGATAGATTACTAAAACATATCTAATCCATATACCTTTATTAATTCAATTGCAAGAGAATGTAAAGAATGTATAGAAAATACTAAGTTCTTTCTATTCAAATGGAAAATGGAACCTTAGTCATAATAAAGAGTCGAGTGCACAAGCTCTAACAAAGCCTTAGTGAATGCCATCATGACACCTGCTTTACAAAGATTTCTGCCCTTAAAACTTATCAGTGTAAGACGTTCCCAAAAGATTCTAAACAGTTAAACTTTGGCTTTAAACTGTTGATTCCTTATCTGTATTTCAAAACTAGTTTTCTCTTTATTATAGGCTGAAAAGGAAAATCCAGGTCTCACACAAGACATCATTGTGAAAATTTTAGAGAAAAAAAGTGTAGAAGTTAACTTCACGGAATCCCTTCTTCGTATGGCAGCTGATGATGTAGAAGGTATCAGAAAGAAGAACCTTGCTTAAATTATACAATTGTTGAATAGCACTTCCTCTAAATCATTATTATTTAACTAAAGGAACTTCCTTCCCTACTGTTTCCCCCCCGACCCCCCGCCTGCCTTTACTTATGATGATGCTGGTGGTGGTGGTGGTGGTAATAGTAGAAGCTAATCTAGATAAAATAGAAAAATTGTTTTTCTTGCTTTTTATATTTGTGAGATTTAATTACTTGAACTTTGTTTATACCGCATTCTTTAATTTTTCCCCCCTTTATGTTTGGTGAGTTTCAGTTTTACTAAAAGGTAAGCTATTTGGAATGTGTTGACTTTAAGCAAACAATAGTTTGGAAGTAATGAGGTTTTTGTTTGCTTGTTTTTTTAACTTTAGTACAGCATCTTTTTTTAAGCACAGATTTAAAGGAACAATATAACCATGCTTTTCTTATTTTTTTACTTCAAATTATTTAGACATTGGTTTTACTTTAGTAGAAGTTTTCCCACTAATTTAGAAAAACGTGGACACACGATTTCCCATAATTATTAAGGGAGAACAAAAAGCAGGTATTTTAACTGATTCCATGATTATAAAAAAGCCCTTATCATTATTTAGAGTTGAGCATTTGCAGCCCATTAGGCCATTATATATTGATGAATTGGTAGATTTGTAATGCTTCCAAGTCTGCAGTGAATCTGGTAAAGTCTGATTGAACCTCCTTTCCAAAATTGCTGTTCTGTGATCCCAGCCCATGTGTTGGATTTGTGCTGATGTTTTTGTTTTTAAGTGAGATTTCAAGAATATGTAGAAGATTTTATTAGATTATTTGGGGTTTTAATATAATGAAGCAATGTATATTCAATATAGGGGTTTAAAATTTTTAATCTTTCTAATTGGAAAGTAGATATTACCTTTGCGCTAGTTGTGACACTCATTATTTAATTTAAGGTTTCCTTGGGAAATGTAAAGCCTGCCTTTTCAATCTAGTTTTTTTGTTTGTTTGTTTGTTTGTTTGCTTTTTTTTTTTTTTTAAGATTTCATGGGATTTCCTTTTATCCCAAATTGAAAATATTTGTATTTTCTTTTTCTGATACTTTACTTGAAGGGAGCCCTGCTGTTATTACTGGACTAAGTCGAATGTTAATGAATTCTACTTTGCAACCTTGTCTTTCCTATTTATCTGGCCTTTCACCTCCCCCACCTGCCTTTGACCAACATTGGGAATTCTTAGAAGTGAATTTGGCAGAATCGCAGGATGTTTTTTATTATGTATTTATTTTATCAGAGTATATGATTGAGCGACCAGAGCCAGAATTCCAAGACCTAAACGAAAAGGCACGAGCACTTAAACAAATTCTCAGTAAGATCCCAGATGAGATCAATGACAGAGTGAGGTTTCTGCAGACAATCAAGTAAGCAATTTTTTGTTTTGTTTCTTTTCTTAAAAGTACTTCCAAGGAACTATTCGTCTACATTTTTTAATTTTGGTATGACATTAACTTGAAATGCTAATTTGAAATAAAATCTCGAATTGTTAAATACTGCATTTTATTAACTTTATGGCATTTGGTTTCAGAGTACAACATTTTTTAGAGTGTTTAATTTTAAAACAATAATGAAATGTGCGTAAACTGGAATGTAGTTTGAACTACATAAATGATGGGAAAATATAAATGTCAGATAAATGAATAGAGAAACTGGATATATCCTAGAAATTGGTAGTAAAAGATACCAAAATTGTTTTTATTTCAGAAATGGCAGCAGTCATTAACGTAAGTAATGTACTCTTAGGCATAAGTAGCATTTTCTAAGACTGACCAAGTAGCCTCTAAATCCTTGCCTTTGGGGGGTATAGGTTAAATAAGACCAAGAATATGCATGGGGCCAGGAGGCTGGCTGGTGAGCAGCAGCCAGAAGGGTTATCCTAGAGAAGTAGTTCTCAGACCAGGGACACTCTTCTGGAGTACAGTGAGGGGTGAGAGGGTAGGAGATTGAGTGAAAACATAATCCCTACATAAGTATCTTTAAACTAGAGAGTATGATAATTTTCTTCAGCCTCAGTGAATAGAAAACAAAGCTGGAAATACTTGCAGTGTCACTATCAATGCATGGTTTTGGTGAAACCATAGGTGGATATTACTGAGAAGAAGAGATTTAGCACAGGTCTTTTTCTGGAAGAGGCTCTGACATATTTGGTAACTTTGAAGAACCTAAGGAGACTCATTTGGAATAAATAGTAACATTCATCTTTTGGAGATTGGGCAGTGGGAGGAGTGGCAGCAGCCAGGCAGCCCAGCTTCATGAAGGCCCTCAGCATGCCTTGACCCACATGCATCCGATATGTGCCTTCCCCACTTCCAGGATGCCCAAGAGGACTGTCAGCTCAGCTGACAGGACAGTGAAGGAAAAGCCCAAAAGGAGATGGATATGGTTATCAGCTAAACCTGCTCTTTCAGTAGTGGAAATGAATCCCCAAAGGGTAGCAGGATAGGATAAATCTTCAGGTAAAAAAGCGCAAACAAAAGAAAAGAATAGCAAAGTGAAAACAGGCCAAAGTGGCTAACCAAGAATATTTACCTGCGGAAAACAGAAAAACTAAAACTGAAGAGAGTCCAGCCTCTGAAGCAGGAGAGAAAGCAGCCCAGTCTGATTAATACCTCATACCATGTCTTATCAGTGGTTCCCCGTCTCTCTTCTTACATAATCCAGAGGAGTATTTTTATCAACTATGTTGTAAATGCAAGTTTTTTAGTAACTCTAGAAACATTTAAGGAGTAAATTCCACCTCATCCCATTTTTTTGGTGTAAATGCTTTTTTTTTAAAGAGGTGAAATAATGTAATTTGTGGTTATTTTTTGGTACAATGAGAAAATAATGTTGGATATTGAATTATGGGAAGCCTTGATTGTTATGGGTGTCAGCTTAACATTCCATAAATGGGTGGTTAGTTTTTATATCCCATAATACAAAGCATACTAAATGGCAAAGTGGAGTCGCAGTGCTGCATTTAATGTCTTGAACATTTTTAATTACTCACTCTGCCACCCAGGCTGAACTGCAGTGGCGTGATCATAACCTACTGCACCCTCAACCTCCTGGGCTCAAGCAATCCTTCCACCTCAGCCTCCTGAGTAGCTAGGACTACTAGTGTACACCACCACACTAGGCTACTTTTTTTTTTTTTTTTGATATTTAATAGATACCACGTCTCCCTACATTCCCTAGCTGGTCTCTAGCCTCAAAGCTCAAGTGATCCTCCTGCCTTGGCCTCCTAAAGTGTTGGGATTACAGGAGTGAGCCACCACACCTGACCTTAAATTACTTCTTCCTGTTGTTTTTTAGTGGAATTATTTCCTTGGGCACACCACTCCTTGAGCCTGGCTCTCCCTTTCAGAATTGTGTGCACTCTGTAACATCTTTGGTCATGGTAGTCCTGTTTTTCTAATAATTTTGTTAATGCGCTGTGAAAGATTAAAGTATATAGTGTATATGCTATTAAATTGTGAATTGGTGGGATGTATGTGACAGCTTATCAACATTTGAAGGTACTGGTACTTGATAGCCTCTGAAGGAAATTTTGCCTCAGTTGTAAGCTAGAAAGTCACTGGAATAACTTTAAAGAATAATAAGGATACGTGGCTTTTTAGATTTTGTAGTACGTATGTTCAGAATTGTGTACAAGTTGAAATGTCTGTGTACTGATCCTCAACACAACAGATAAAATCTCAATTATGAAAGAAAAAGAAAACATTCATCTTTTGAAAATAGTATTCTTTGTCGTTCACATTGAGAAATGCTATTTTAGCTTGTTTGGATACCTAGCTAGTTTGGATGCTATCTTTTGAGTCACATAAAGAGAGGAATATGTCCCCTAGAAAATAATGGTGTGTGATAGGTATGCCACCCAGCTATCAAGGAATGACCCTACTCTTTGACAGTAATGAAGGACCAGGAATGTGAAAAAGGCTTTTAATTGAATAGCCAAAATCTGTGTCACAAGGGACAAACCCTAAGGGTTTTTTTATTTGTTTGTTGGGTTTTTGTTTTTGTTTTTTCGAGACCGAGTCTTGCTCTGTCGCCCAGGCTGGAGGGCAGTGGCGCTATCTTGGCTCACTGCAAGCTCCACCTGCTAGGTTCACACCATTCTCCTACTTCAGCCTCCCAAGTAGCTGGGACTACAGGTGCCCGCCACCGTGCTCGGCTAATATTTTGTATTTTTAGTAGAGACGGGGTTTCACCGTGTTAGCCAGGATGGTCTCAATCTCCTGACTTTGTGAGCCACCCACCTCGGCCTCCTAAAGTGCTGGGATTACAGGCATGAACCACTGCACCCAGCCTATGGGGTTTTTTTGTATTCTACCTCTCCTACAGGAAAGCCCCAGCTTCCTTTTCTACTTTTAATATGTGAGGAGGGAAGGCAATCCACTGTTTATGGAGTTTTATTTTTAATCTGGTACAAGTTGAACATCCCTAATTTGAATATCAGAAATTCTAAATGCTCCAAAATCCGAAACTTTCTGAGCACCGTGACATGACACCATAAGTGGAAAATTCCACGTCTGACCTCATGTGATGGATGGATTGTAGGCAAAACACAATCAAAACTTTATTTTATGCACAGCATATATGCATATATGGATGCACTTTATAAAACATAAATGAATTTCATGTTTATACTTGGGCCTCATCCCCAAGTCTAAAGACTTCTGGTCTCAAGCATTTCATTTAAGGGGTACTCGCTCTGTATAAAGTAAATATGTTTGGCCTGTAAAAGGATAAAGTCAATGATCCCAAACTTGATTGTTTAGACTATTTATTTCTAAAGTTTTCAAATAATTTGGTAAGTTTTCATTTGCTTTGATAATCATGGACTTGTTGATGAGCCATGATACATTTCTATGAAGATTTGACATGTAAAATAATATTTGCAGCAGATTTTGCTTCACATCATCAAAGTACATTTATATAATCAATGTCATCTTAATAGCAATCACTTATATAGTACTTATTATATGCTAAGCACTATTTTAATCACTTTACATATATTTACTTATCACAACAACCCAGTGACAAGTGAGGAAATTGAAGCAGGCACAGAAAATTAGGTAAGGCCACAGACCTTACCTATTAAGTGGTAGAGCTGGATTTGAACCCAGGCAACCTAACGCCAGGTTCACTGCTGTTTCCCAATCATCGATTTACAGTGTTGATCTAATTTGGAGATTGAAAAATAAAGTTTCTGCCATTTGAAAGAAATGTGATAAAGGATATTTTAACATAGGATGCCAGTACATGAGAGAGATAAAGGTGTTGTGGTTGAAGCTGAGATAGAAATGTAGGCCCAGAGCCCTCATCCTGTCACTTTGACATCCTCTTTCCCCCTACAGAGTCCCTGAGACATCTCTGCTAAACTGTCTGTGACTCTAGGGAGCTACCATTTGAAAACCACATTATTAACAGCACATTTTAGTCATAAGGAAATTGAGCTTAAGAGTCTTGTCCATAATCATTGACAGAGACTTTCTTTAGGATGTTGTTTCATTTATGAGGGAGTAATAATACTTCAGTTCTGTTGTCTAGAGTGTACTCATTTAGCATGATTGAATTAAGGGTAATGGTGGCAATGAAAATTTACTTCCTAACCATTTGAGGAGGGATAATTTACCCTGGCAAGTTTGCTGATATGTATGTTATTTCTGAGACTAAAATTCAACCACATATGAATAGCATAGATAGGCTAAGGTATAATTATTTGTATACTGTCATATATTGGTACATTTTCATATATGTTCTTACCACTATTAATTGACAAATTAGTGGATAAAATTGCACCAAAATAGAAAATTATTTCTCCTTCAGGCATTTCTCAAATATTTTACTTTCTTGTATCTAAGGTAGTTATCCCCTTTATTCACTTTAGCAACATTTTTCAGTAAGCATATGTCATACACATATTACACCAAGTACTATAGGTGATGCTGTAGATTGTATCAAAGTACAAGTAAAAAAGATTCCTGACACCTAATAAATATTCAGGCAGTTATGAATATATTAGCAGACCTAGATTTGAATCTCCATTCCAACATTTAGCTATGTAACCTTGGATATAAGTTGCTTAACTTCTGTCATTTTAGTTTGTGCCTCTGAAAGTAAGGGTAATGACTTGTGAGAATTGAAAGAAATGATGTACATGAAGTGCCTAGCACAGAACCTAGCATACATTCAACAGTACATGCTATAATAGCGTTGTGAAATGAGAATTTTTCTCCCTTTTCTCAACGGAGTTGATTAGGAAAAATGATCCAGCAAATATTTTAAAAGGCCTTTTTTTTTTTTTTTTTTTTTTTGAGACGGAGTCTCGCTCTGTCGCCCAGGCTGCAGTGCAGTGGCCAGATCTCAGCTCACTGCAAGCTCCGCCTCCCGGGTTTACGCCATTCTCCTGCCTCAGCCTCCCGAGTAGCTGGGACTACAGGTGCCCGCCACCTCGCCCGGCTAGTTTTTTGTATTTTTTAGTAGAGACGGGGTTTCACCGTGTTAGCCAGGATGGTCTTGATCTCCTGACCTCGTGATCTGCCCATCTCGGCCTCCCAAAGTGCTGGGATTTTAAAAGGCCTTTTAATCAGTGAATGTGTGTGCCTGAGTACATTTGAGCTATGCAAATATTTTGTAAAATTAATTTGAAATCCAGTACATCTGAACTAATGGAAAACTAGTGGAGACTCGTAATTTAACAGACCAAAATAAAAAAGCCAGGCATTTATTTACTGTTTGTAATCTACATTTGCATATTCTTAGGTGAAAATTCAGTAAGGTTTATTTGTTTTAAGTTAGGATTTTCATGAAGGGTCCAGAATAGATTTTCTCAGAGTTTTCCAGTCTAAACCAAACTCAACTCAAAGCACAGGGATTCCCTTTCATTAGCGGATTTGCATAAACACGTATCATGCACATTTGGGTGGCATGATTAGAAACTACTTTTCCATGCAGTTTTTTGATAAGATGTCTGTTTACGTTTCATCTGAAGGCTTTGTCTTTCAGTGTATGTTTTGCACAGCTGCCCTAACTATTAGGTTGGTGCTAAGTTCCTCCTGCTCATACTATCTGCCTCTTATCACAGAATTCATCTGCACCAAGCCGCATTCATTAGTTATGTGATATTTATTTTACCCTCAAGTTTTTTCTCAGTTCTTTATCTGGTTAATTGTCTGTAGTGGTTTTTTTGTGACAGTATTTTCTCTTATAGGAAACAAACTCTCTGGTAATTACTAAGATAATTTAGCTTCCTTATGTGCACACCTTGGTGCCATAAATGAAAATACTTTTCTGTGTACATATGGATAACATAATATTTGACATACATTCTGCAGATTGTTTCTAGAGAACATTTTTTCTACAATTTGGTAGGCATTTAACAGTCTTTTGCCTCATGTCCAAACAGAAGGCCAGGCTTAGGAATAAACAGCTTTGGCTGACAGAGAGCTGTGTTCCAATAAGGCATTAAACCTTAGCTGCAAGTTTTCAAACCTGCCTCATCAGCAGTCACCTGAGGAGTTGCGCCTCCTCACACCCCCTTTTAAAGTAGAGATTTCCAGTATTTATCAGCATGTCTGTCTTTTTTTGTCCAGCAAAACCCTCCCTTCTTCTCTCATCTTTCTGTCTCCCTAGGTGCATGAGGCAGCATTTTTCAGACCCACTCTTTTGACTTGTAGAATCCAGGCATTGTCGTTGCATATCAAACTTATGTTCATCTTGATGACTAGCCCTGGAAACACGTTTTATTCCTCTTCAGTGGAATATTGAAATACACTACAAAGTGAGACTGTATAAACTTCTGTCTGATCACTATGTAATTTGCTCCATTATATTCCATTTTAAGTAACTCCATTGTGGATTTGGAGAAGCTTGCATATTTGGAGATTTGACATTTTTTGTTTATTGAAATTGTAATTTTTCTCACAGAATAGTCCTATGACAGCATTTTATTAAACAATGGTGGGTTTATGTCCATCACACCAGTATACAAAGATTCAACTTGCTTAAGCAATAAATGAAAGGAATAGTTATCTAATTAAAAACTGCTATTACTAAACCAGAGGCAAAAAAAAAAATTAGATAGCATTTATGTAAGACTTATTGTCCTACTTGAATATGTAATATTTCAGTGTTTCAGCCTAATACCAGTGTTCGACCTGAGAGAAGTAATAAGTAAAGTATTATTGAAATAATTAATGAAAATGTTATTACTACTTCGGAGTACTCTAAAATACTTTTTTTTTAATATCAAAATTCTGTATGCTTTTAATTCTTAAAATTTCTACATGCTTATTTACTGAAAAACATGCTGGGAAACACCCACATGCACACAGAAACCTGGACACTGAGGATTTTTTCCCCTTGAAATAGGAATGTTGAAATGTTTTAGGTAGGAAATAACTGAAATCTGGCATTTATAATTAGTATTAGTAATAAAATGTTATGTTTAGGATGGTGCAGATTTCTATCTTATTCATTTCTTCACAGTTGCATTGCATTTGAAGTTTTTGTTGTGACTAACAGCTAAGAGAATGGTTTTGAAAAAGGTTTGTCGTAGAGAATGAGACTTTGAGAATGCAGAATTACATAAAGTTCAATTTGATAGAAAAAAATTGCTATGAGGTTAAAATGTGGAAATCAAAAGGAGCTAGACAGAAAGGCAAAAATAAAACAAATTCAGAAAAAAATGGTGCGTGGATAGGAAGAACACTCAAATGAGAATTATTGATTTCTTCCTTTTGTTTCTTTTGAAAGGGGAGGGAGGTGATGATGCATATATAGTCAAAGGATGATTGCCAGAAAGATTAAAGTGGAAGAATATTGTGGTGATGTCTCCCCCAGTAATTTAAATATTATATTTTCCAAAGGGAATAGTGGCTGACAGCAAGTGTTTGAAAGAGGAGGATATTTGGTTGCTAGATAGAAGCTAAAAGTGTCTATAAAAGAGTAAAGGAGGAGGAGTATTTCCTCAGGGGAGAGGAATATTTTCCGAGGAGGAAATATTTTATGTTAAACATCAAAACTAATAGGTATCTAGCATACAGCATTGTTAAATACAGAATTGAGTTATATGTCATGCAGAATATCATAAAATTGTTCATTGTTCAAATAACAAAAGTGGAGAACGTGGTAGCTTGACTTTAGCTACATTAGAGCAGAGAAAAAATTTAAAATGGGGAAAGACAGACATAGGTAATGTTTATCCTTTTCTAAATTTGAGTAAGGAATGCTTAATGAAATGTGATTGATTTGAGAAAGTTGGTTTTGGTTGGCAACCTTTGGTCAGCAGTGCAAGAGAATCAAGATTACAGAGGGGTACAGGCTAAAACCCCAACTCCAACCAGCTAGCCAAAAAGGCTGGCTATTCGTGAAGTGAGTGCACTTACCATAATTAAGAGTGTACTGTGATTAGATTAAGAGTGTACTTAATTTCTTTCAAATGTAACTGATGTTTTCTCTCACAAATTTCTTTCAAATGCAGCTGATACTCTTTATTCTTTTCCCAACAGGGATATAGCTAGTGCAATAAAAGAACTTCTTGATACAGTGAATAACGTCTTCAAGAAATATCAATACCAGAACCGCAGGGTACGTTTAGTAGAAGCCTTGCTAGCTGACACCCTAGATGTTGGTTTATGCCTAGTTGTTTTATTGACTTGAAAATAGGATTGATTGTTGGAAATAGTTTTATGTCATTAACCATTGAGTTTATTCTTGGATTTAAATATGCCTTTTTATTTAAAAGTAAATATTCCACAGTTGCTTATTAGTAATATTCATATAAAGTGCATCCCATATCCTGTGTAATCTCCTGTCCTTGCCTTTGGCTGTTGTGATTATTTCTCTTATTTAGTACTTTTTTTTCTTACTGTATTTTGTGGCTGTAGGCACTTGAACACCAAAAGAAAGAATTTGTAAAGTACTCCAAAAGTTTCAGTGATACTCTGAAAACGTATTTTAAAGATGGCAAGTAAGTACTGTAATTTATCCTTTTAAAATTAAATAGATTATGTGGTTTTATATGGTATGAAAACCATATAAATTAAGCCCTTTTACTTTATTAGTACTCCAGGCAACTGATATTCAAGGCATTCCACTAACAATAGGAAATGAATGTGGTTACTAATCTGGCCATAACTCCTTTCTACAGCAGGAGTTATCAGACGCTTTCTGAAAAGAGCCAGATAGTAAATATGTTAGATTTGGTGGGCCTGTTGGCCGTTATCTACCTCATCTCTGCCGTTGTAGTACAGAAACAAGCCATAGACAATATACAAACAAGAGGGTGTGACTGTTTTTTACTAAAACTTTATACAAGATTCAAATTTCAGTATCTTGAAATAATTTTTACCTGTCATATATTCTTCTTTTGATTTTTTTTTTTTTTTTTTTTTTTTTACCATTTAAAAATGTAAAAGCAATTTTAGTTCATTGGCCTACTTTATACACTCCTGAAACAGTGGTTCTCAAACATTAGTAGCATCAGAGTCATCTGGAGGACGTGTTACAGCTCAAATTGCAGATTGCTCGAGAGTCCCACTTCTAGAATTTCTGATTTCGCAGGTCTAGGATGGAGCAGGTATTTGCATTTCTTAGAAATTTTCAGATAATACTGACATTACAGGTCTATTGAGAACTACTGCACTAAAGTTAAAGCAATGTTGTCAATCCTTTCTGTGCAATAGAGTCACTTGAGGACAGTTTTTAAAAAATTCCCATAGCCTAGGCCCCACCTGCAGAGATTCTGATTCAGTTGCTGGGAGTGGAGCCAGGGTTTAGATGTTTTGTAAAAGTGCCCCAGATGTTTTTAAAGGGCTGTAAGGGTTTTGACCCACTGTCCTGGAAAGAGGCTTTCACAGCATCATTCTATAAAATAGGAAATATACTAAAATGTAAATTATACATTAGTTTTTAATTTACATATAATTGGTTGTAATGCACTATAGAAAACCAAGAGATTTTATATATTTTAACATACATACATGCATATGTATAATGTATAAGCTGATGCAAAGTCTGGCCATATAGGTAGTTTTTTGCACTTCATGTCAAATGTGAGAATTTTTTCAACAAGATTATTTTTTAACAGTGCTTAAAGTCAGAAAAGTAATCTAAATAGAGACCTCAATCATCCCATCCTACTATACAGGTTTTAAGATCTCTATATTCATGTCACATCGTTACAGTATTATTGTAGTAATATTTAAAATGATAAAAATACATTAGATAGAATTCTGTTAATTTTCAGAGTCATTTTTTAACCGTTCACCCAGGTTGAAGTATTTACATTTATATTACAAATTAGAGATTACTGAGCTAAATTTTATTATTTGTTTTGTGGTGGTGTTCCGTACACAGGTTGTCTAAGGGAAATGCTCCTTGATGACTTAGTTTAATAAGCTGGCATTTGTGTTTTGAAAATAAACTTGTTTTTTTCTTGATTTATGCTAAGCTCAAATAACCAAAAACACATTAAAATAATAATTTACATGATGGGATTATTGTTTCTGATTTTAAATTACTGTTACGGAATAAGCACAATGAAAGGTAGACATTAATTTAAAGCCTAATTTTCATTAATTAATTGAAATTATTTACTCTGCATATGGATTCAGTCTCCTTGCTACTACTTTCTCTCCATTCAGCAGCTTTTTAAAATTCCAGTTATTTGTGTATCAGTAATGTGCTGTGAGTTTTATACCTGTTTCCTCAAAACAGAAAATTATTGATAGAGCCTGATCTTTAGGCCATCTTTCAGTAGGGGGATGGATTTGCAGAAATGAATTTGCATCCATTTCTTTCTGGCCCTTCTCTCTTTTTTTTTTTTTTTTTTTTTGTTTTTTTTTTTTTTTTTTTGAGACAGAGTCTTGCTGTGTTGCCCAGACTGGAGTGCAGTGGGACGATCTGGCCTCACTGCAACTTCCGACTCCCAGATTGAAGCAATTCTCCTGCCTCAGCCTCCGGAGCTGGGATTATAGACACATGCCACTATGCCCAGCTAATTTTTGTATTTTTAGTAGAGACAGGGTTTCACCATGTTTGCCAGGCTGGTCTCAAACTCTGAGATACCTCATGATCCACCCACCTTGGCCTCCCAAGGTGGTGGGATTACAGGTGTGAGCCACCGGGTCCAGTCCCTGGACACTCTCTTTTGAGAAATGTCTAGGATGCAGGTACATGCTAGATATGATACTAGGAAACTATTAAGGCCACACAATGGGACTAGGGCGTCAGCTCTGTGTTCCAGCCACATGAAGATGAGCCATTAGGAGAATGGGATGGAGCTCAAAGCCAATTTTAAAGAATATATTTTTATATGTTGTCAGCTCCCAGATTTTGAAACTGCATGATTATTTTGTTGTAAAAATATGTTTATAGTAAAAGTAGTTTGTAGTAGTTTGTCATTTAGAATTTCTACCTCTTTTTTAAGGAGATAAGTGGGATGAATCAGATTAGAAGTAACTTTTTCTTGAGTATTATGCCCATTAATTAATTATGCCCATTAATTACAGATTTTGAGATTATGATACTTTGCTAGATTTTACTTGTTAACTTCTATGAAACCACAGCTGGAGACCACATCTGAATCCTCCTTTTGGCCAGTTAACTTGTTCCACCTATAAATAAACTGGGTTGTTGAGGCACCACCTATCATTACCAGCCCTCCAACATTTTATTGCCAGTCAGAACCACCAGGGGGCAGTAATTACTAGATAGTTTAAAATGATGCAAGACTATTAAATCCTAAATTGGAATAAAAGTTTTAATACTCAATACTAACTTGTCTTTTTTTTTTTTCTTAAATTGGTTTCATTGCTACTGTTAATAGTATAAATCTTAAAAGGGTGAATTTTTTGGATGAAATTAATGCTTATTCTTTTCTTTTTAAACAGGGCAATAAATGTGTTCATAAGTGCCAACCGACTAATTCATCAAACCAACTTAATACTTCAGACCTTCAAAACTGTGGCCTGAAAGTTGTATATGTTAAGAGATGTACTTCTCAGTGGCAGTATTGAACTGCCTTTATCTGTAAATTTTAAAGTTTGACTGTATAAATTATCAGTCCCTCCTGAAGGGATCCAATCCAGGATGTTGAATGGGATTATTGCCATCTTACACCATATTTTTGTAAAATGTAGCTTAATCATAATCTCACACTGAAGATTTTGCATCACTTTTGCTATTATCATTCTTTTAAGAATTATAAGCCAAAAGAATTTACGCCTTAATGTGTCATTATATAACATTCCTTAAAAGAATTGTAAATATTGGTGTTTGTTTCTGACATTTTAACTTGAAAGCGATATGCTGCAAGATAATGTATTTAACAATATTTGGTGGCAAATATTCAATAAATAGTTTACATCTGTTAAACACTTCTTTACTTGAAAAAAATGCATATATATATGTGTGTGTACATATATATATATATATATGTGTGTGTATATATATATATGATCAGAAGACCAAGACAACTTGGTGTAATGTCTAAAAAACTTCTAACGGGAGCTTATCAGCAGTTTATCAAATAATAAAGAAACAAGAATTTCTATTTTTGTCCTTAATCACTTTGGACACAGAGTAGTCAATGGAAATATTTTTGTTAATTATTACTTATAAGGTACTGAGTATTTTTATATGATTTCCAACCAGTTTTAAAAGACTTATGTGTAAGAGATGGCATTTTCTAGTGTTTCTGCACTATAATGCCACTTTTTGAACTCTTGTTACAAATGTAGATTTGACTCTTAAAAATTAAGCCTTTCTTATACTGGGCCCTCATAAGCTTTGCACATTTCCCCCCCCAAAAAATAGCCACAATTAATAGTAATTTGAAGCTATATCAATGGTTGGATTGAAATTGTCATGAGTGTTAACATTCTATACACTCTTCAACTAGGTACAGTTTTATTTCACCATAGAGAAGTTTTAAGGAAATAATGTATCAAGTGTTCATGTTAAGTGGTTTCATTTTTCAATTATAAAATAAAGGGAAAAATCAGAATTTCCTTATCTTTTATAAAGATTTTAGATGTTAAACTAAGTTTCTGTGGGCAGTATCTTTTTTGCTGTTATGCAACTCAGTTATTTTATTTTTTCTCCATTTTAAAAAACAGATTTTTTTTTTTTGAGACGGAGGCTCGCTCTGTCGCCCAGGCTGGAGTGCAGTGGCCGGATCTCAGCTCACTGCAAGCTCCGCCTCCCGGGTTTACGCCGTTCTCCCGCCTCAGCCTCCCCAGTAGCTGGGACTACAGGCGCCCGCCACCACGCCGGGCTAGTTTTTTGGGTTTTTTTTTTTAGTAGAGACGGGGTTTCACCGTGTTAGCCAGGATGGTCTTGATCGCCTGACCTCGTGATCCGCCCGTCTCAGCCTCCCAAAGCGCTGGGATTACAGGCTTGAGCCACCGCACCTGGCCAAAAACAGATTTTTAAAGAATTATTATCATTGGCACCATAAAAGTAAACTATCCTGTTAAATGTAAATGGAAAATATATTGAAAGGAGCAAAAAAAAAAAAAAAAAAGGCAGTTGGATGAAATCTCTTAATTAATGAACATTTTACTGACTTGATTTTTTTTCTTCAAAGATATGTAGCCAGTAAAACAAATAGAATGTTGATCTTTATTTATTTTTGACATAAACTGTCATTCACTCTTTGAAGTAGATGGGTGATCATTTGCTGAATAGACTTGTGTATATGTGAAGAAAAAAGACACTTTTATTTGCAGCAGACTTTTTAAACATCATTTCTAACATCATCTAACATCGTTCCTTCTGCTGTCTTTACCCTCCTTAAAATAACCAGTTACTAGACATGCCTCAAATCACCTCTTTTTATAAGCTTTCCATATTTTCATTCCACCGTCCATTACATCTGGCTTCTGCTTTCATGAAATATTCCTCCACAAGGGAGGCTTATTCTTAGAGTACTTTGGTTTCTTACGTGATCCTTTCAACAGGGCTGAGTTTGCATTAAAAGGAGGCCAGGGTGGCCCCAGTTAGATTCATTTCCAGAGAACAGAAAAGTGGCTTCAGAGGAAAGGAAGAGGAGGAAAACACAAATTTGTTGACCACCTTCTCTGTCAAGCACTAGTTACATTTACATAATTCTCTTAACAGTCCTATGATTTAGCTGTTTTACAATTGAGGAAACAGAGCTTAGGGTACACAGCTAGTAACTGCTAGGGCCGGAGTTTAAATTTGTGTCCAGATTCCATGTTCTTTCCACTGAACTGTACTCCCTCTATTACTGAAAATAAGTCTTGTTTAGGGTATTAGTTCCCAAACACCATTTTGAGAAACCTCTCCCTGGTCCGCAGGAAAATGAGAAAAATGAGAGCAATGTGATTGTTTTTTCATAGATCTAACTCTACTCATTTTAAAGGATCATGGAGATTATTGCTGTTTTTGATGTTTGAAATACTGTCCACACTTTAAAAAAAAGATACAGTAAATTTTTTTAAAAATGACTTTTAAAAACCTTATTAGGCAAAACAGATTGACATCTCATTATTGAGCTGTCTTAATTGATTTAAACGTTTTATATGGAAATAATTTCAAATTTACAGGAAATTGGCAAGCGTAAGAATAGTGCAAGGAACATCCATATGTCCTTTACCCAGACTCAACTATTGTTCAGAATTTACGCTCTTCATTTTATTGTCTGCTTGTTCATTTATCCTCCCTTAAGTTTCCTTTACTCTGGATCATTTCCATGGCCACCTTGGTCTTTTATAGCATTGAATCAGATTTAAGTTATGCATTCTTGGTGAGAATACTCTGTTGATGGTACTGTGTCATCATGGTATGATATTGGGGGCACACAATGTCCATCTCATTGGTGATGCTAATTTTGATCACCTGATCAAGGTAGTGTTCAGTTTCTCCAATGTATAGTTACTGTGTTTTACCTTGCAATTAATAACCTGTGGGAGACTCTTTTAATTCCATGCTAACGTTTTTATCCAGGGTTTAACATGCATTGATGATTCTTGATATTCAGTCTGCAACTTCAGCATTCTTTCCACATGTACTAGTTGGCAATTAATATTTTATTGTAAGCAGGAACCCTCCTTTCTCCCCTGATCCATTCATTCATTCATCCATCTATATCCGTCTCATTTTTACATCTGTTATTGTTATAAACTCATGCTTTTTAATGTTTTTCCAGTGCTTTTTAATTAATTTTACCATACTTACTTTGTATGTTTTACCATACAACTTTGATGCTCAAGTTGCCTCAGATTTGGCCAGGAGAAACTATTGAGCTGGCTCCCATGTCCTTGGGATATCCCGTCGTTTGTTTAAAGGACTTCATAGGTTATATAAAAGAAATTCCAGGATTTAGAGTCAGCAATTTCTCCATAGAACCCTAGGGAATATTAGATACCTAGATCTGGATGCTGGATGTACTCATTGCTACTGGGTGTCTGTTTCTAGGCTATTCAGCAGACAGAACTAGAAAAGTCGTGTATGTACAGTTGACCCTCTGTATCCATGAGTTGTGCCTATATGGATTCCACATCCCTGGATTCAACCAACTGGGAATTGAAAATATTCCACAAAATAGAAGATAATACAATGATAATTTTAAAAATACGGTATAACAGCTCTTACATAGCATTTACGTTGTATCAGGTATAAGTAATCTAGAGGTGATTTAAAGGATATGGGAGAATGTGTGTAGGTTATATGCACATACTATGTCATTTTAAGGGCCACGAGCATCCTCAGATTTGAGCATCCTCAGATTTTGGTATCCTCGGGGTTCCTAGAACCAATCCCCCATACATATCAAGACATGACTACATTAACACTCAGATGTGCATATCCAGATAGCATTTACATGTGCTTATATACATGTTACGTTTGATTTCCGAAATGAATTTATACTAGTGCCTCCAATTTCAATCCGTTATCGCAGAATTCTTTCTCACCGTCACTATTCCATATTTCTATGTCACTCCTTCCTCAGAAGTCCTGGATTCCCCCCAAAATCAATTATTCACTCTATAATATATCTGAAATAATTTTAGAATTGCTTTTGCCTATATCACTGTAAAAACAAGATTTATTTTCAGTTCTTTACCTATATCCTGCTCAAGGTTAAGGATAATGGCTACATTGTGCATTTATAAATTAGTTGTATTTTTTTTTGTCCTTCACTGTATTTATGTTACTTGAAAGATAACATATTTGCCTTCAGGTTTGAAATTTATCTCCCAAACTCCTCCCATTCTTGTTGATCTAATTTTATTTAAAAATTTTATGGGCCGGGCACGGTGGCTCAAGCCTGTAATCCCAGCACTTTGGAAGGCCGAGATGGGCAGATCACGAGGTCAGGAGATCGAGACTATCCTGGCTAACATGGTGAAACCCCGTCTGTACTAAAAAAATATATAAAAAACTAGCCGGGCGAGGTGGCGGGCGCCTGTAGTCCCAGCTACTCGGGAGGCTGAGGCAGGAGAATGGCGTAAACCCGGGAGGCGGAGCTTGCAGTAAGCTGAGATCCGACCACTGCCCTCCAGCCTGGGCGACAGACCGAGACTCCGTCTCAATAATAATAATAATAATAATAATTTTATGGAGCCATAACACGCTTCTAGAAGTTAGAACCTTACCAAAACATATACCCAGAAGCGTAACTTTCTCTTCTATCTGTTCTGACCCATTCCCATCTGTTGTAAGTATCCAGCTTCATTGGTTTTGGTTTTTGAGGCTTCTTTTTTACGGAGGAAAACAAAAAAATGTATATTTTCTTTCCATTCTTTCTTATACAAAAGGTAGCATACCTAAAGGGAGACCAGCCATCTTAGTTTGCCTAGTACTGAGAGGTTTCTTGGGACAAAGAACTTTTAGTGCTAAAACTGGGACAGTCAGGCAAACGGATGGCAGGTCACCTTACATACACATTCTTTGTTAAAACAGTTTTGTTGATGCATAATTTGCATACCATAAAATTCACATATATGTCCCTTTAAATATTGAGGTATAATTTAATGCCATAAAATTTACTCATTTTAAGACTGTGCTATTTAGTGATACTTGACAAATTTACGGAGTTGTATAACTTGACTATGGTCTTACTAGATTGACATCATTGCTACAAAATATGCTCAGTTACAGTTCATCCTTGTTTCCTCTTCCAGCTCCAGGGAACTTCTATCTAGTTTCAGTCCCTATAGATTTTTCTTACCGGGACATTTCGTATAAACAGAATCATCTAATAATACCTTTTGAATCTGGCTTCATTTGCATAATATGTTGTTTTTGAGGTTCATCCATGTCATAGCATATATAGGCATTTCTGTCATTATTGCTGAATGGTATTTTATTATATACCATATTTTATCCATTTACATGTTGATGGACCTTT